ACATTATTTGGTATATATATTATATATAATATATATATATATATATATACATATATATATTATTTGGTAACTTACCCACTTATGTGGGTAAGTTACCAAATAATGGGATTTTTAGATTTCCATTAACAGCCCGTTGCTAAAATTTCATGTTAGCTACTTCAGTGTTTATTTTTAGGATGTTATTTAATGAATCAGACTAAGTGCTAGCTCAGTTTCATAGTTTAGGTCATATGATCACAGCTGTGGAGAAGGATATCTGACTCATAAAAGCTCCTTTACTACAATTTCCAAGTTGATTGCATTATATATAAACCACTTCCATTGGAAAACTCTGATTCAATTTTTTGGTAATACTTAATACTTTTTTTTTCAATAGACTTTCTTTGTTAAAATAGCTAAATATCAGTCCCAAACTAAAATCTGTAAATTTTCTTTGATTTTCCTCAATTTTTATTCTTTTACATCCTGAGAATTGTCATATTCATGTAAGTCCATCTTTTTCTCATGTTTTATCACAATTATATTTAAGAATGCCATAATCTTTCCAGTTTGAATAAAAAGGAAATATTTTTGTGGATATGTCTTTCTAATTTACGCATACTGAAGTATCTCATTTCTATGTATAGTATTGGAGCCAAATGGATCATTCTACAAACCCAGCACTAGAGTCATTCCAAAATACTAACTGCTATCATTGTTGGCTTTTTCAAACTGTGACTTCTGCTTTTCCCTGAGTATGAAACATATCTGATCTTGCCAGGTATAGAAGGCATATTCATACAAGACTCTAGACTTTTCAATAAACAATTATATTTCGTATGCCTCCTTGACCACACCATGCTGGATGCAAAACGTAAGGTACTCATGTGACCCTCCACTGTAAAGTCATCTCCATACTTTCACATCAGATTTAAAAGAGAATTTCATTTTCATCAACTGATACAATGCATGCAGCTCCTTCCTGTCTTCCATTTTACCAGGACTTGCATTTGAGTTGCCACAGTGCTTGCCTCCTTCATTGTATTTTAAGCTCATATAGATTATGCTTAAAAGCTAGAAAGCTATTTTATGCATGAATTCTTTTTATGCATGAAATTTTCATTGAAGTAATAAGGAAATAAACAAATGTTTATTAGAATGTAGATGAATGGACTTTTTGTTCCAGAATATAGATTATGCACTCAGGCTTTCCTCTACCACCAAAACATGGAATGATGCATAGAAAAAAAATGATGCATGACATAATTTTCTGTGATATCTTTGTGGATTCATCTCTAACAGCAAGAGAAAAAAAAGCAAATCCAAACAATTTGTACTACATCAAACTGAAAACCTGCACATTGTAAGAAGCTTATGCTAGAACAAAATGAAGAAAATATTTACATAGCATATATCCAACAAGAGGCTGATACCAAGATCTATAAACACTTGTACAATTCAACAAATAATAATAATAATAAACATGGGCAGAAGAGTTCAATAGGCACTTCTACAAAGAAGACAAAGAGATGATCAAGAGGCATGTGAAAAGCGCTTATCACTTATCAACAGGAAAATGCAAACCCAAGCACAATGAGATACCATCAGAAACTTGTGAGAATGACCCAGATTAAAAAGACCAGAAAGAACAAGTGCTGGTGAGGGGTGGAGGAAAAGTACTGTTGGTGGGAATATAGAAGGGCTCAGCCCCTGTGGAAAACAGTAGGGTGATTTCTCAGTATATTAAAAATAAGCCTACCATATGATCCAGCAATTGCACTCATGCTATCTATGTGCAAAAACACTAATTTGAAGGGGCATATGTATTCCTATGCTGATTGCAGCACTATTTACAATAGCCAATCTAGGGAAACAACCAATGTACTCAAGGAGAGATGAGTGGATCAAGTTGTGGTACCTACACAATGAAATACTCAATAAAAAGACAAATAAATCCATTGTATCATTTCTCATATCTAGAATTCCCACAACTATGATATAGGAAATATAATTTACAAAGTAAAAGTTTTTAAATTAAATTATTAAAGCTGGTGGTCTGAGAATAGTGGGGGCATTTATAGGACCACTAGCTTCCAAGCGGTGAAGACAGATGCTGTAGACTTTTAAGACTGAAGTTTCAAAGTTACTTCTGATATATTCTATTAGTCAAAAAGAGGTACTAGGGACGGCACAGATTTTAAATGAAAAACATACCCTATAATTAATGGGGTCAAGGAAAAGTCACCATATAAAAATAGCACATGGGATGAGAATTTCTGTCACCAAGTTTAAAATCACACTGTTCCCTCTGTCCACAAATTCCTTCCTTTATGCAAAATGCATTTACCCCCACTTTCCAAAACTTAATTCTATTACAACATCATGACCAGACTTGAAGAATAGGATTTATTCATCTGAATTGGGTGCAGGAAGAATAAAAATGTTCTTTGGGTACAGCAACAAAAGGATAAAAACAAAAAAGTGGTTTTCTACCTATGCCAATGTAGAGTAGGAGAATAGACACAGAGTAACTGCCATAGGCTCATTCAAAAAGGGGGTACCAAGCCCCATATGTCACTCGCATAGCCATTTTGAAAGCCACTGAGCATATGTCAACAATTCTTGCTGCTCTGAGGACTTTGACATTGATTATAATTCATCTCAATTCTAAGGAGAGGTTTTCTTCAGAGAAAAAAAAAAAAGACTATTTTATGTTCCATAAGACATTGCTGCTGTGTGCTATCTGGAGCTTTTCCTGCACATAGAAGTTTGGGACCCTGAGGTCACTTTTTGTTTGGACTCTGCTGTCTGTGGAATCTGCTATATTTCCTATTACAGAAATGTGGCATTTTTATATATCAAATTATAATGCACTATCATAGACATAAGTCAAAAGCTTCATCCATAAGCTTCATCTAAGACATGCTCTCCTTCACTTTGGGTTATGAATCAGTGTGTCATGGAACAAATCACTTATGAATTTTTAGAAGACCTTTTGTCAACCTGAGAGGTCAAAGCATTACTATTTTAGATTTTCTGAGGCCTTAAAAAAAAGTTCTTCCAGGATAACCCTTGACCTGATATTTACCCTCAGGCCATGTTTTATATGTAGCACCTGGATTTGATATTGGCTCTGTGTTCATTTCCTACTTTGGGGATTTGGTGCTGCCAGGCAAGTTGGAGATGATAAATAGTTTTATTTTCTCACCTGGCAAATCCTAAATTAGAAATAGTCCTTTTAAATTTTGCTTGGAAATGAAACAACCCCCCTTTTTTGTAGATTTCTCCACCTTACTTAAAATATTGTCAGCTAAGTGTTGTCAGCTAGTACTTTTATTCTCAGGAACTCCATTAGCCAGATCTATAAGCTAATTAGATCCACTCCTACCTTCTATTCCTAAGCATATATCACATACTTAAAGTTTCTTAGTGCAAAGACAATGACTTCTGGTTCAGTTGATTACTTTTGTGTGATGATCCATGTTGCAGCTGCTGAACCCTTAACCCATCAAGGTATTTCTGCCCAAACTAAGCCTCCTGCAAGCTACTCATAGCAGAACACTGAGCATAGTGTGGGGGCGAGGAATGGTCCAGCTATATACTGACAAATGCATCAAAAATAAGTGGTTTAAAATTCACCATTGAATTTGATAATGACTCTTCTAATCATTGTGCAGGACTTAGCTAAACCATGATTCTCCACCATACAGTATTGGCTGCAATCTTTCAGCTACATATATTGGTGTCTTGGACATGCAAGACCCAAAGAGGCCTTATTTACCCATGTGATGCTAACATGCTCTTCCATGTAGACTTTATGTTGCTAATGTGGGCTTCATCATGATCATCCCAGGATATTTAGAGTTCTGGTATGGTGTCTCATTTCCAACAACAACAAAGAAACAATATAAGCAGTAAAGAGACATTGCAGGCCTAAGACTCAACTGGTGAAAATTACACAGTTATTTGTGTTGCATCCTCCTGGTCAAAACAGCTCACAAACCCAGCACAGATTACTATGGCAGGGAAATAAATTCCACAGTTGATGAGGGCAAATGCAATAATCACTGAAATGCACCACAAGGATGTTGACTGTCATAGAGTAATTTCCTCAAATGCTGCACTTTGAATTCACCACTATCTGCATGCAAGGCACACTTTCTGTGAGCTGCCCCCAGTCAGTAATTAAGAGTGGTAAGAACACAGAGACAGACCCATTCTTCAAGACTTAGGAATCCTCTGGCAGCCTTCTTTGACTTAAGAGCCTAGCATAACTCTTCTAGAACCTACCCAATATTTGTCTTTTCCTCTTTCCACACAAAGACCAGGTCTGCTTTTGCTCTGAAAGCTCACGTTACTTTCTTTCCTCTATACCCCTTACCAATTTTACCCCAGATAATTTTGTGCACCTTTAATCCCATCTTGGGGTCTACTTCTCAGTTGCTTCCAGACTAATTTAGTTAGGAAACGTCATGATACATATGAATATGTAGAGTAAGGAGACAGCTGTGAATTTGGATACTAAGAGGACCCTGGGGTCCTATCAACAACTATGCAGTCAATATACCTGATAACACAGAGATGATGTTCTGTCAGAGAATCAGTAACAGCAGAGGGTGTCCACGAGTCTACCTGACTCAAAAATATGGACAAACAGCCAAGGACCACCAGACACTTAAAGCAAACCATCATTACCATAAATAATTTTCTGTTATCTTTCTTCCCATCTATCATTTTGAAAAAAATATTCAAAAATATACTCCTAGAAAATAGAAACTAAATAGAAAGCAGGGATGAATATCATGGGTAGAGAAGGTGGATTCCTTATTCTAGACCCTACATAAGGACTTTCTCTAGTTCTCAAGCTCAGAGATCTTCACCACACAGCATATTATTTAATGTACACCGAAGAGACCAAGACTTCTCCAAGGTTATTTTGTTATGAGTCTTTGTCCAAGACCCTCTCTCATTGCCCAATTACATGTTTTAAAGTTAGAATTAGATAAACTAGGTACTCACTGTTTCCTTCTATCTCTCCACTTCCTCTCCTTTTTCATGAACACTGTAGAAGTATCTATAAAATTCAGAATATAGGAGACTATGTTATTCATTTAAATGGTGTAACATTTTATCTGAGATTTAGTAAGTTAACCACTTCATGATAAATGACTTATTAAATAAACAAAAAATTTTAGAGTCAATCTTTTAATTAGTAATATCAGTTTTATTATACACACACACACAGTAGACCATTAGGCCTCCACAGACATTCAGCATGTTGGTTATGGTCTTGTTTTGTTTTAACGTTTTCTTTCATGCCCTACTCTCATGGCATAAAGGTTACCTTCCTAAATCAAATTCATTCTTTAGTTCCAGAATAGTCAATATTTTTCTGGTTTTCAGTAATAGATCATTTAGTTAGTATGTGCATGATGCTGGAAGGGCAGCAATATAAACTTTTTCTTTGACTATAAAAGCAAGTTAACTAGAAAAATCAGAAGGAATAAATTATTTTATGTCAAAAACAGGGTTTCAAATCTCATCAAATGAAAATTTTCTCTAAGTGTGTATTATAAAATGATGGATATAACATCAGGTTATTGGAAGATGATTAACAAGGTAGCTGGAAGCTACTTGAATTTTGTCACTTTCCCCTAAAAGCTGCAAAAAATACCTGATGACAGGCTATTGGAATAGGCAGAGTAAGAAAGAAGTGACCTATTGTCTTTACAAAAACACCCATATTACTTTTATTAATATTTTTCAAGTTGAAATTAAAGACTATCAAGGAGGGATGATGAAATACCAGCAGGACTTGGTCATAAGCCTGGAAAGGCGCTTTCATTCCATCTGTGGGTAATGCTGAGGCCTAAGAGTTCAGCACAATGGGGATCAATCTTATCTGCCTGCTCCAAATATCCTCATTTGTCCCTGGGGCTGGGGTAGATAATTCTCCTCAATTCTTTCAGACCCTCACTTTAAGAACATTAACAAAACTCCAACGGGACTTAATATTTTTCCTTTTTTATTTCATCAGAATATAAATACCCAGTTTATGCATAAAAATGCCACAGAAAGTTCCCAATATTTTTCTTTTATTGTAAAGATTTACATATTAATTATCTTTTATTGTTTTCAAAATACTTGTTTACAAATTTGGATGCCAAAAGATTTGAAAAAAATCCAGCATTTTAATGAAAATAAATGCCAGGGTTCGGTCTCTATAGGGATGATTTCTTATAGAGAGAGACATTGAGGGTAGGAGAGGGAAGAAAAGAGGAAGAGGAGGAAAAAGGAAGGTTTTTTTTAATGTCTTCATGGATCTTTCAGTACCTTTATTTCCACACAGTGTTGGATATCATTAATAGTTGTGTTTTATTATTTAATGAAACAATTTCTTTGTAACTACTAATCTAATTTTACCTTAAAAGAGTATATAGGCCCTCCCTGGTGGTGCAGTGAGTTAAAGCATTACACTAAGAAGCTTAAGCTACTTCTGCATGCGTTCCATCCCGCCTGCCCCAAAGGTGACCACGTGTCCGGCAGACCTCTCCTGACCACCCCCCCCTACTGCTCCCCTCAGCAGTGTACTTCATCGATCTGCCTGTTCTGCTCCCCACTCTGTCCCTGGTGAATCCTCACCCTCCGCATCTCTGGCCTGTACCCCAGTTCTGTACGAATAAATAAATAAATCTTTAAAAAAAAAGAGTATATAAATAGTGGTTTTACATTCTTTGTACAAATATGAAGGAGAAGAATCACTGAATCAATAGTGTATCTATTTTTAATATTTTGGAAACCTCAATGTTGTTTTCCATAGAAGCTGAACCAGGAAGGGAGGCATGTGTGGATATACATAAAATCAAACATTTTTATATTAGATACATTTAAAAGAAAAAAGAGTAGAATGTTTAAGGAAACTGTTTTTATACCTAACACTATTTGTAAAAGAACACATGTGAAAAATAGGGTTGTGGTTTTAAGTTGTGATTTAATAGCTAGGATTTCGTAGGATTATAAAATGTACTAGAGTGTGCATCAAATACTGACCTTTGCCACAGAAACTTTGGCGTAACTATTCTCTTCAGGAAACAGATACCATCATAAAGACTCTGGTTTCTGTTAGATTTAGAAGAATATATTGAGCAGATCAAGCCATGTTTTATGGTAGTGGTGCAAAAATAGGCAATATGAAAAAATTGATAAATTATTCTAAATGGACAAAAGTTGAGTGACATGCAACAAAACATTTTTTAAATTTCCTGATTATTAGGCAATTCTTCACTTAGTTTAACCTATTGTTCTAAGAGGGGGAATGCTGTAATAATAAAGAAAATGATACACATATCATTATAATACATGTACCTCTGAATGAGCTTTTATATATAGTACCATTCTCTGGTTTGAAATTCTTCAGTAGCAATTTGGCATCTATTTACTACTGACTATGTCAAGTACTATTTTATGAGAAATATATGTAAAATTATTCTATTCTCATTAGTACCTAATGAGGTAGAAGACATATTAATTACAGTCTTAATACAAGCAAGCTAAAACACAAAATGGTAAATGATGTGTCTTCCATCTTCCAGTGGCTTACACAAGGCTCATTTGGTGTAATATATAAGCTCTGCTATGATGTGATCCTTGGCCCTTTTGAGAGACAGCCCATCCTGAATCTCACTCGTTTTAAACTGCTTCTGGAACAGGAAGCCCATGGCTGCTGCTACCACAGGGTGTGGCCAGGTTTGAGCACCAGCCCTGGTGGGAGCTATGGAAGGAGAGAGCTGAAGGCACAGGCAGCCTGTGGGCCAGCCCCGAGCTCCAGCAGCACCGACCTATTTCTGTGCCAGCACCATATTGCTTTTAGTACTGCTGCATTATATAAAGTATGAAGAGGTAAACTGATACCATTGCCTCCTTTTTTCTTAGAAGTACTTTTGCAATTCAAGACCTTTTGTGTTTCCATAAAATTTCAATATTTCCACTCAAGTTCTTTGAAAAATATTGCTATTATTTTGATGGGAATTGTGTTAAATTCATATATCATTTAGACAATTGCCTAAATTATTTGATTATCTTATTCACCCCACCCATGAATGTAGGATGTCCTTCCTTAACCTTATGTTGTTATAGTAAAAACACCCTGGAGCTCTCATTGCAGAGAAATTTTACCTGCTTATTTAGATTAATTCTAAATTAATTCTAAAGCAATTATTTTTTTAAAAGATTTATTTATTGACTCATACAGAACTGGGGTACAAGCCAGAGATGCGGTGGGTGAGAGGATTCACCAGAGACAGAGTGGGGAGCAGAACAGGCAGATCAAGGAAGTACACTGCTGAGGGGAGCAGTGGGCGGGTCAGGAGAGGTCTGCCATGCCATGTGGGTCACCTCTGGGGCAGGCGGGGATCGAACTCATGTGGAAGTGGCTTAAGCTTCTTAGTGCAGTGCTTTAACCCGCTGTGCCACCAGGGAGGGCCCTCTAAAGCAATTATTAATGGGGTTATTCTCTTATTTTCTTGTGTTTCTTACTCATCATTTCTATATAAAAAAGCTACAGATTTTCGGGAAGCTACATGCAAAAAAATGAAACTAGATCACTGCCACACTCCAGTCATAAAAATCAACTCGAAGTGGGTTAAAGACCTAGACATAAGAATGGAAACCATAAAATACCTAGCAGCAAAGATGGGTCAAACACTACACGACATACACTTCAGCGACATCTTTAAAGACAGAGCACCCAACGCCACAATAGTGAAGGCAAAGATAAATAGATGGGACTACATCAAGTTAAAGAGCTTCTGTACAGCAAAAGAGACATTACTAAAAACAAACAGACAACCCACTAATTGGGAAAACATTTTCTCACACAAAAGTACGATAAAGGACTGCTCACAAAAATATACGGAGAACTGACGAAACTCAACAAAAATAAAGTAAACAACCCCATCAAAAAATAGGCAGTAGAGCTAAAAAGACACTTCTCCAAAGAGGAAATGCAGATGGCCAACAGGCATATGAAAAAATGTTCAACATCACTCGTAATAAGGGAGATGCAAATTAAAATCACAATGAGATACCACCTCACCCCAGTGAGAGTAGCACATCTTCAAGCAATTAGGAACAACAAATGTTGGCGAGGATGTGGAGAAAAAGGAACTCTCCTGCACTGCTAGTAGGAATGCAAACTAGTACAACCACTATGGAAAACTGTTTGGAGGTTCCTCAAACTGCTAAACATGGAGCTTCCCTACAACCCAGCATTCCCACTTCTAGGTATCTACCCAAAAGACACAAAAACACTGATTGAAAAAGATACTTGTACCCCCATGTTTATTGCTGCTTTATTTACAATTGGAAAAACATGGAAGCAGCCCAAATGCCCAAAAGTAGATGACTGGATTAGAAAGATGTGGTACATATATACAATGGAATATTACTCAGCAACCAAAAAAGAGAAACACATATCTTCTGCAGCAACTTGGATGGAGCTGGAAAAGATCATGTTAGTGAGATAAGCCAGAAAGAGAAAGAAAAATACGGGATGGTTTCACTCATAGCAGGAGTATAATGGACCAGGCGAGAAAATAACAAAAATAATGAACAACCATATACCAGAGACATTTTGTGGGGGTGGAGTGGGGAATGGGATCAAAAACGGGGGTGGGGGGTGGAGAAGGGAGGGAAATGCACGGGATTATGGTGGTGGCACACGGGTGATTGGTGATGGGAAACCCGCAGGGATTACAATCTAGATGGAAAAAAAAATGTGCAAAATGATGTAAAAATAAACTTTTGTAATAATTAAAAAAAAAGCTACAGATTTTCATATGTTGATTTTGTAAATTGCCACTTAACTATATTAATCTATTATTTCAAATCATTTTTGATGGGTTATTTAGTATTTTATATACACAATAGTATATTGTCTACAAATAAAGTTAGCTGTTTTTCTATTTTTCCAACTTAGTCTCCTTCATCTCCTGTTTTTGGTCTCATAAGTTGGCCAAAGTATTTAATACTAAGTTCAACACAAGTGGTGATATCCTTATCTTATTCTAAACATGA